ATTGAAGTAGTGTCAACTTTAAGATTCTCAGCCCTGTTTGGCTGCCCTATGCCATATAATGATTAAAATATACTAGGTCAATTATAACTTTGAGAGTGGTTGACGCACTCTAGTTAGACTTATCTCAGAGTTCAAGGTCCTTTCTATGGGAATTCAGTCTATTCTAAAACAACTGTTTCCACTTACTCCCACTCTCCACATGAGCCAGGATAATTGAGGCCCACATTAGATTAGCTGTGCAATTATGAACAGAGTTGCTTAACTAATCTGCTATAGCTTTACTTGACCTGAGAGGTGATGTCACAACTCAGCCCCTTTGTCATACCAGTGGAATCAAAGAGAGGTTTAGTGAGTTTGCAAAGGTTGTATAGAAAGTGCGAACTGCAATCTGTAATTTCTGACTCTTCTTAGATCTGTATTATGCTGCCTTTTCCTATCATAAATATCTGTGGTGAGGATCAAATGAGATTAATGTCAGTGTGCCTTGACAGGCATAAAATATAACAAGGGTAAATTATTTCTACTTGCTTTCTATTGTCAGGAGGCATCTGTGATCCTTTATGTTGTCATTTCTTGATTCTCAGTATCTTGGAAACCGAGGTTATTTTTAATGTCTTTTTGTGTCCCTGAGCTCAAGGCCAAACTGATACGTGTAGGTTATCTGGGCAAGCTAACAAATCGACACCCCTTGAAACTGAAATTCTTTGTTTGAAACTGAATTAATTTATTTAGAGAATACATGGATAAGCTGATTTTCTAATAATAAAAAGTATATAGTTTATGTTCAGACAGGGATTTATTACATTCATTTATTACAAGCAGTTTTCTGATTAAGTTTCTTGGGAGGTATATTAGTCTGACTTATATTTAGATAAAATAAATTATTCCTTTATGATTTTGACATTTTTTCTTACTATACCTGTAATTTCAGGTAATTGTCAGCTGACAAATGATATGGTTAGTTAAGAAGTCAGGATTTACCTAGGAGCAAATCTGACTTTTATCAGCTGTGTGACCTTACGCAGTACTTTAAAACTTCTCTGAACTTTAGTTTCCTTATTGTTAAACTAGGCATTATAGTGATTAAGCTAAAATTGACCACTGGACCATGGTTCCATTTACTCCCCACAGTAACCACATGACATAGATGAGGAAATGAAGGCATGTAATGGTTACAGAACCAATAAATAGTAAAAGATTTGAACTCAGGTAGTCGTAACTCAGCCCATAGTTTTTGAAAACCTTGTTACTACCTTCTTGACTGCTTCGTAAGTTGTTTTGTAGAGTAAATGAGATGTAGTATGTAGAATGCTTGGTACAATTTAGTTTTCAGAGCTTTTTAATTTTGGAATTGTGACTAAGGTTTTATATACCTAGAAATTAATTTAGGGAGAATTATAAATATTTAATTGTACTTGGTTCTAAACAGTTCTGTGGTAGCTTGTTAGCTTGAAAGAATCACAGGCCCCTCCCAGACATACTGGATTATAATTTGTATTTTAAGAATTTGCATTTAAGATCCTTAAAGTTTGAGAAATACAATAGTAGATGATCTTGAAGACTTCTTCCAATTCATGGTTGTGAGTGATTCTGGGACCAGCCGGCATGGATATTTTAGTGTAGATTATTGCATTTAGCAAAGAAAATGGTAGTACCTGAAAGGCTTTGTCTTTTCGGTTTTTTTTTTGTTTTTTTGTTTTTTTTTGAGGCAGCATCTCACTCTTTTGTGGATTAGAGTGCAGTAGCATTATTGTACCTCACTGTAACCTCAGACTTCTGGGCTCAGGCAATCCTCTTGCCTCAGCCTCCTAAGTAGCTGAGACTATAGGTATACAGGTGTGTGCTACCATGCCCAAGTAATTTTTTTAAGGTCTCGCTCTGTCACCTGGGCTAGTGTGTCATCACAGTTCACTGCAACCTCAAATTTCTGGGTTCAAGTGATTCTCCTAACTTAGCCTCCTGGGTAGCTGGGACTATAGGCATGGTCTACCACACCTGGCTAATTTTTCTATTTTTTTGTAGAGATGGGGTCTCATTCTTGCTCAGGCTAATTTCCAACTCCTGGCCTCAAGCAATCCTCCTGCCTCAGCCTCCTACAGTGCTAGAATTACTGGGGGAGCCACTATACCCAGTCTTAAAGGATTATTTTAATGTAAATCACTGTGCTGTAGATTTTTTTCTATTGCTTGCCTTCCATTATAGGGCAACTTTTGAGGTAATCCCAGTTTGAATTTGTGAAAGGCTTTTGACATAGAACAAAATTATTCTAAATTTTATCATCCTGTCATTTTAGGGAATAATTAGAACTCAAAATTTTTAGTCGTGTTAGATTGAATGTTTTTAATTCATCTCACTAAATAATAAGAAAATATCAGCCAACTATAGTTATGAGACACTAAAAATAATATACAAGTTTATTTTTGGACAGTTCACTGTTCTGATGTTTTAGTGAATGTTTGAAGTTAAGTTGTAAGAGGTTAACTACAAAGCAAATGAGCTCTTGCTTGATTAGAAATTTTTGATTTTATTAGTCTCAGGAATTAAAATAAAAACTCAAACTTAAAGAAAGGATCCTCTTGTAGGTTTTTTGTTTTTTAATGTGACAGACAATAGTGTCTGTTTTGTTCAGGACAGTGTAGATATTCACAAATATTTGCCAAATGAATAGGAGTTTGTTTTCGGTGATTTTTGTATCCTTTTCAAATGAGTTATAAGAGACATGTAAAAGTCTGAAAACTCGACTTTCTAGAGTCTAGACAAATTGAAGATTTCCCCTTATTAAGTAATTGCTGTATTAATCTCCATATCAACTAATTGTGATTTTTTTTGAATATTTATGAAAGATGTGATTCAAACATAAGAATCAGTAAGACATTTATATAGTTTAAAGCAAACACCTGGTTAAGAAATAGAACACTACTGAGTATTTAAGAAGCCCCCCTTTGTGTTGTCTTTCAGTTGAATGCTGTTTTATCCTCAGAGATAGCCAATCTCTTGGTTTTGTTTTTAAGACCTCTGAATATATCCTTAAGCAATAAGTTGTTCAGCTTTGAAAAACTGACTGGAAGCATAAATCTAATTGTGTAAAGAAAGGGTAATATTGCTAATATTAGATCAAATCTCACTCGAGAAGGTAGGTTGAATAAATTATCCTGGTCACAGTCTGGTTTCAGTTATCTGGAGAGTTTACAGTAACTGTTTTCTGGGGAAGTCAATGGGAAAAGTGTTGAGTGAGTCTTGGGAAATAGCATCTGTTTCCCATAGTCGGGCATCTGGCAGTAATACAGTATGGATCAGGTAGGTACTGGATGTTCAGCAGAAGTATTATCAGAGGAACTAGGCTGCTTTGTATTTTACTCTAAATCGCTAAGTTCTACTTTCAGCTCTTAGAAGAAAGCAGAGGAGACCACTTCTGTAGGTGAAATAGGATTCAGGGGAGAGAGCATGAAGGCAGAGCAGAAACTTCATTAGCAGGCATTCTTTCCTCTGGTTGAAAGATAATAGTGGCCAGGATGAGGAAAAAGGATAATAAAATTCAAATGAACAAGAGTTGTGCTAGCCTTTTATAAAAGAAAAAGCCAAAACTACTCCACTGGGGTACATAAAAGAAGATATAAAAAAAATTGAAAAAATATTATTTTGGGATAGGAAGACTCAGTATTATAAATCAATTCTCCTGAAATAAATCTTATCCAAGATTTCTGTTCATGTGTTATCTAATTATTCAAGCTTCTTGGACCATATGCAGTAGCTTTATTTTTCTCCATTGCATTTATGCTCAGCTGATATAACTGTATATTTCCTTATTTGTTGGTCTTTTCCCCCCTTCTTATGAAAAAAACTTACAAAGGTATGTGAACTTAGGAGGGCATGTTTGTGTTTCCTTCTTACTAGACTGTAGACTTAAGGTTATGTTTTGTTTCTTGTGGTATCCTCAGCACCTTGAACTGTGCTTATTAGTACAGAGGAAGCAGTCAATGACTAGTGAATGAATGAATAAATAAAACTCTCCTTTCTCTCATAATCCATGGCACTTATTGTCTGTTCTGTAGTTTTCTGGTCATTAATTTTGTTCAGTTTAGCATCTTATAATGCTTTCTATTATTTTCTTTTGGTTCATTGTCTAATTGTTTCATTCCTGTAAGACATTCTCTATGCTCCTTGATGGCAAGAGTGGGACAAATGCATCCTTTGTGTACTACCTCACAGTGCAAGGCGAATGGATGTAGGAACTTGTTGAATTGAATACATTTATTTATTCAAAATGACTTAAATTGCTAGAATCCAGTTTGCCCTCAACAAAAGGAGTATTTTTTATTGGGTAAAACAATATAATTCTGTACAAAATGGGATTTTTTTGGTTAATTTTTTAAGGATGGAGATTTTTTGGAGATATTTTGTTGAGCACATGGTAAATTTTGGTAACTGGAAGTTGAAACTTTTCTAATTATAATTGTATGAGTTTCTGCACACAATTGGGTAGAAGAAAAAAATGTCACTATTTTCAGTGAGATAAGGATTTCTTACCTTGAAATTTAAATTAAGAAAAAGCTCCTTATGCTGTAGTTATATTGGGACTTAGCTTTAAACTGAAATATTAATTATAAATAAGTATAACTTTGTAGCTTACTTAACCTTTTATAAAACTTTTACATATATAAATATGCAAATGTTTTAATAAATACTTTGTTATATTTCTCATGCCAGCATGCCATTCAACAGTTTGTAACTATTTCTCTCTTCTTGTATCTTTGCATTACCACTAGTTTTCTTTTTTTATCATTGTTGATGTGCTGTAAATCTCTGTACATAAATATTTTATAAATTGTTTTTTGGAGATAAATTTTCAGCAGTATACTTTACATTTCCAAAAGCAAATATTTTAACAGTTGCTGAAACCATAAATGTTTAAAAGAAGAAATTTAAATCTAAAAAGTTTTGTTCCTTTCTAATTCATATGGAGAATTATTTATTTATTATATTTTTTTGCTTTATTTCAGGCCAGTCTATCCATATGGGGATGGGGAAGCCTTGGCATTGTCCTTTTTCTAATAACCTTTGGACCCTTTGTAATATTTTATTTGGCATTTTATATCCTCTGCTTTGTGGGTGGGTAAGTATACGCAATGATAATTTTACAATTCATGTGTCATGTCTTATTCAAATGCAAACAAATGACTGTGATAAATGGGAGTGTGATTTATTTCTGAATGCTATTTTTAAAAAAAACTTTATTAAAATTTTAAAAAAGTAAAATTAAGACACTCATAGAAATAAAAACAGTGATGATTATTATTTGTACCAGGAATATGGGTAATCATATTCAAAAATGAAATTTCAATTTCTGAAGATATGAACTTTTTTTGGTGAAAATAAAGTTGAAATTTTCTTGTCCATTATATGTAACTTAAATTGAGATGACACAACTAGTTTTACATTGTAGAAATTGTTTCACTGATTAGACTTCAAACAATAATGTTAATTATTTCTATTAATGAATGTTGTCATTGTGGCCTAGAGAATTCAAATAAATGCCTGATTTTGCATTCTTCACCTTGTAGTCATTTGGTTTGCAATGTGTGTTTTCCTTTAAGTTGATAAACCTTTTATAAGGGAGGATCAGTTATAATTTATTATAGCTTCATATACAGGCATGATTTGTAAGAAAATGTTAGAAAATGTATAGATAAGTGAGATGCTTGTTATTTGGACACTCACCTACATAGCTTAGCTGAAATGAATATTTTATTGTTAATGTATGTGTATTTATATGATATATTTATGTAATTAGTTGTGGAATGAACACTTATGAGTTTGTTTTTTAAAAAATCTTTTGATGCCCTAGACATTTGGAAGAGTTGTTTGAGCCTGTAAGTTTAGAGGATTTAGCTGAATTGAATAGCTTATATGAATAGTGGCCTGAAAAACCGTATAAGACACTGAAGGATTGCTTAGCTTCCTAATATACCTACCACCTATCACTTCTTTTAGGGTACAGGCTTGAAAGTCATGCATGTTGTTGTCATTTTATAGGTAGCATACTCACTGATTGTTGAACAAGTGTGTGAATTATTTACATTGAACAGCGATGTCAAAGACTCTCTATAAAACTGTATTTTACATTAGATTTAGTGTTTTCATATTGCTTAAGTGTGATACTGTGTACTGAAACACTTAGATTTATTTCAGTCATAAGAGTCAGATACATGGAGTTCAGAACATCTTTATCGATGATAATCAAAGATCTTAGAGATCTACAGCCAATGGACTTCCTAATTATACTCCTCAGTCACAAATTAAGGCCATAGCATAGCTGTAAAAGCTGCATGGTTTTACAGCAGCAGGGTCAAGGCTACTGTTATCAATTGAAAGGAGATTATCTGTCTTGAGATGTTTTTCTGAAAGGGAGAAATTTCTTTAAATTTTACTAATTGAATAAGCCCTTGTGAAGAGTGAAGGAAAAGGATTTCAGAATATTTCCCAATACTTCAGAAAGGGAGGATATTGAAGGCAAAGGAAGGAGCCCTTGGAAGGTAGAAGGGTAGAGAATTATTTCTCTTTTACTGGCTGCTGCATATAATATTTGGGAAATAGAGAAGAGTGATCAGTTTATTAATTTTATAGTCTTAAGAATCTTTGTTGCTTCCTCCCTTTTTGAATCTGCTAATTTATGAAGGAATAGTTTTTAAAAAATCTTTTGGGTACTTACAGAGTTGTATAAAAATTTTTTGGTAAGGTGGGATAGTGGAGTGTGTGGGAGGGGTACTAAAAAACTCTTTAGATAATATTGAGTCATGAGGTGGGGTCTGAAATTTCAAGTTCACGATATATGTATCATAAATTGATCTGAAGTTCTGTTCCAGACTTTGTTGATCTCAGGAAACTCACTGCCACCAAAAGAGGACTTACACTAGCAGGCCACCCAGAGTCATCTCAGGTGGATGAGTTCATTAAGCATCCTCAGGTTATTCAGTTATGGTCAATGAGTACCAAAACTTCCTGAGTCAGATCTTTCTTATTTTTGTTCTAATTACGAAGAATGTCCCTTTTTTAATGTAACTTAGTGTAGTTTAATGCCTTATGAATTTAAAGTACAAAATAGGCTTTTAAGTATCAGTAAGTAAAATGATTGCATTTCATGTAATTAAAAATCATTTCTTAGTTTTAGTATGTTTTCTTATTGTATAAGTTTTAAAGATGTATTTTTTTTTTTGGAACTGATACATTTTCTTGTGGAACCCGTTCCTTTTTTGTGTGTGTGCTAATAAAGCTAATTATAACTTAAGTTTTAGGTTCTGCAATTTCCCCATCTAAAATGTTGATAATGTATTTATTTTGCTTATGGTTAAACCTAACCCCTGTATTTTAATATAAAGAGAATTTTTGGAAAGAAAACCTCTCAAGGGTTTTTTTGTTTTTTTAGTGTGGGATATTGTCGATACCATATTGTGGTTACTTCATGGCAGTCTGTTATATTTGTTGGTTTATGTGATTATTTGTAGTAACTGTTTTTTAGTTAAATCTCACAGTTGAAACTATTAATTAGTTTCTTTGTAAGATCAGACTGTTCCTTACCTTGCCTTCCTACTGTTGTATATGATGGGCAAAGGCTGTTTTATCAGTCTGCTTCATGTTGATGTTTTTAGAAATACAGTGTTAACTTAATATAAACATTTTATTGCATCTGTAAATGTGCTTAATGACTAGGCAAAACTGAAATAATAGGGCCAACTTAAATATTAGTAATAATATCAGATATAACACAGATGAAATTTACCAATAATTCTGAGGTCAACCTTTTATAAAAAAATCAAAAACAGAATTAATGGTATGAACTGATTTGACTTTATCTGTGTAGTACCTGTACTGAAGACCAGTGAAATGGCAGGTATCCACAAAAAGCAGAGGACTTAGAGAATCTTCCTTTCAGTAGTTGAGACTAATAATATTTAATTTTCACTATTCTCTTCTTGTCACTACAGTCTTTGAATTATTATAAGATTACTATAACATCATTATAAGATTAAAATTTAATTTTTTTGGTAGATTTCCAGCACTTAGCTTTATCGGTGAATTTTAGATATAGGAAATATTGATAACATTTAGTTAATACATACAGTGAAGTAGTTCTAAACCAGAATTTATCTTACCTGATACTATAATTGTTTTAAAAAATAACCTTTTTGGGATACATTCATATTTCTTTACTTAATTCTAGCCTTATTTGAAACAAATGATAATTAGATCATTTTTGCCTTTATAGCTTTTGTTTATTTTGTATTCATAGTGGCAAGTTAAATTACTATTAATACCTCACATTAATTAATTAGCAGAACCATAGAATTAGCTCATTTAGCTATAGATTTAAATCTCATTTTTCTTTATCCTTGGTTATTAGCTAACCTACTTATTTAATGAGGGCTGATTTTTCTCAAGTTTGAAAATGTCATCCGAGATTTTTTATGAAATATATTTGATTAAAACTTTGAAAAGCATTATTGTGTAATTCACAAAATGTTTATAGTTGTTTTTTTAAACTTAAGAATGTACCAAAAAATCTGTCAATTTCTTGCTTTCCCAACGTCACAAACTGACTTTTTAGTGAATGATAAGCCATTTTATGAACTCTGAAAAACGTATTTGGAAATAGATGTATTAAATTACAGAAAAATTCTTTTATGTCTATGATTAAATTTTTTTTCCCTAGGGGTTTAGTGGTTACTCTTCTATTTGGAAAAACAAATTCAGAGAAGTACCTAGAACAGTGTGAACATTCATTTCTTCCTCCAACATCAACTGGGGTTCCTAAGGTAAATAGTGTGACAGAATATGAAACCTCAAATATTAGTTCTTTGCAGTAATAATAATGTGATCATCTATATATGGCTTGGCAGATTGTCCCATGATTCTTTAATGCTTATGGAAGATGTTTCAATCACATTGAGAAAATACATTTTAAAAAGTCACCTTGAAAACTTTCTTAGAGTAAAAAGTGAGAATGTAGATTTGAGGAAAAGATAGAAATTGGTTAGTTTAATTTCAGTGTTTTTCCTGCTGTCTTAAACACAGGATTTCAAAGCATCATGCATACGCTCTGTAAGAATGTCTGTGATTATTCTGTTTTGAGTGAAATAAATTACATAGGAACCAGAGGGAAAAAATGGATACTTTAACTACTTTAAAAAATATGGCTTGCCATGAGATATGCAGTATCTTTAGTTTTAATAATTCAGGCCAAATTTTTACCATCTTGAATGGTGCTATTTTTCCATTTTTTTTCAAGATCATACTTTATAAATAAATTGGAATTGGATAGGCTCAGATTTGCAATGCCTTCAATTCTTGAGGAATTGAGGGGGTTTCATCTTGTTTGAAGAGAGACAAAGGGCTTGGAATTGATGCTAGTAAAAAACTTTGCAGTTATTAACTTGTCCATTATATTCTAAAATGTAGGAGATGTAGAGGTAAATAATGTATAATGTTATTTTGCATTAAGGAAATAAAAGAATTTCAGCCCCATTGCCTTTCATATGGATAAACTAATTTTTTCTAATACTTGTAACATTTTTATAATCTGAAACTTTTCTCTCCTCCTTTAGGACTCCTGTTAATATGTATTCTTTTAAGTTTACTTAAAAGTCATAATGAAATTTTCTTTTTTTGAACCATTTTTAGCCATTTTTAATGTACATTCAATTGAGTGGTCTTTACAGAGAATGGGAAATATTTTAAAAATTAAGATCATTAACAGTAATAAATCATAGTCAAAACTGGTTAAGTCTTAATAATCCATTTTTAGTAGATGGTATAAAAATAGTGATTTTGATTTATTTCTAAAATAAAATATCTTAGTGGTTTCATGTTATAACTTGGAGCATGCATTATATATATATATATTTATGTTTTGGTTTATATTTTTAAGAGTCTTCTACTTTTCATCGCTATTGTCAGGCTACTGATCTTTCTGAAGACTAAGAAGTAGAAAAGTATATTTTCCTTAGTTGCCAAAAATGATCCCTAAATAAAATCAATTAAAAAATATATTCATTTGGCAGCTGTTATACTGTTTTGGGCTGGGAAGAGGGAGGGGGAAGAGGAAGAGTGTTTAATAAAGACAGTTATTAATTTGACTCACTTGAAACACTAATTTTATAGTGTTAAAGGTTCATTGAAATATGGCAATGATATACCTGTACATTTATGATAAAATATTATGGTTTCCTTTAAGTGCTTAGAAGAAATGAAACGGGAAGCCAGAACTATTAAGATCGATAGAAGATTGACGGGTGCCAATATAATTGATGAACCTCTCCAGCAAGTGAGTTTTAGTATGTGGTATTTGAATTCCATATATTGTGTACCAAGTGTGTTTCTTTTGAAATATTAACATTTTTTGCTATTTAAATAATGTACTGTAATTTCATGATGTTATCCTTGAATTTTATACTTGAAGGTACTGCCTTATTAACTGACTTATGAAGTGGTTTAGTTAATATGAAAGGCTTTTGATTGAATTTGTATTTAGAAAAAAGTTTTTATTGACATATTTGATAGTGTTTCTAATAATTGTATAGTTAAAGTATAAGGCTTTTGCTGATGAACAAGCTTAGTGGTTTGGCACATCAGACTCTTTTCTGCTAGTTTTATTACTTTTTAAAAGTGGAAATAAAATACCTGATTTGATTCAAAAATATTCAAAAATTAGAATTAGGTAAAGAATTATTCCCCCCAAGATATTTTCTATTGATGTTTGTTTGATTTGATTATATGATCATTATAAAAATGTGTACCTTAAAATTTTAACATTTATTTTATAAATGAACCCATATTTAATTCATTTGATTTATAAAAATTATACATTGAATTGTTTTATTTGCTACTTATTGTCTAGCTGAATACTGTTGGCAGTATCAAAGGTATTAGTAAAATTAAGTGAATTCCTATATCATTTTGTAATTAGACTGCAATAGATCTGATGATATAATCTTAGAAAAACTGGGGTTTTTTGAGAATTAGGGTCCATCAGCATTACTTTTCATCTCATTCCTTTAAACTGATTAGAATTATTATAGCATTGAAAATTTATTTTTTATGTAAAGTTTGTCTTTACCTAAATTTGGGTGGGACTTGGCCATAGATAGTATTTTGATTTTTAAAAAATTTGGGCAATGGTAAGTTGGGATACCAAAGTCATTTAAAATTTTTGAAATGGTTTTTAGCATGTTGCTGCTTTTGTAATGAAGGCAGGTATTTAACACCACAATTTAGTATGTAGATAGTAAATATAAATTGGCAAATAATCATCTTAGTTTTTAGTTTACCAGTGTTACTTTTTAAATCTTAAAAAGTAATATTTTTTCCCAATATTTTTGTTGTAGGTTATCCAGTTTTCCTTGAGGGATTATGTCCAGTATTGGTATTATACATTAAGTGATGATGAATCTTTTCTTCTTGAAATTAGACAGACTCTTCAAAATGCACTCATTCAGTTTGCTACTAGGTAAGGACGCAACATTGTATTTATGCAGAAAAATTTAGGTATATTTTTTGTGCCAATAGGGAAAAAAACTTTCCAGTGGGAGGGGGGACTTATTTCTTAAAAGGTAAGTAGAACAGAAAATTATTATTGTGGGATAACTCCCAGATTATAAAACTAGAACCCTTAATACTTTTAAATTACCCAAGATTTGAGGTTTTTATGGAATGTTTATCTTGATTAAGCCCTGCTCATTCAGTTTTATGCCAGTTTTTTTCCTCAGGGTCCAAATCAGGTGGCTTTTTAAAATTTTTTACCCCACTAATTGATAATACTTCCCCAGACTACTATTTTATTTGACTACTTTTATTTAATTTAGCTACTATGGAAATAGATTAGTTTCAGTATAATCACTATTCTCCATTATGGTTTCAGTATAACTGTTCTCTTAACTTTGGTACCTACCTAATGAAAGTCCTCTTAGAGGGAGGAGAAGGAACCAAAGGAACATAAGTCAGTGGAGAATATCTAGTTTATTTTTTTTCAGAAGAGACATATATTTTGAGGAGTTTGTTTTAAGAAACTTTTCTTGTGAGATATAATAAAATTCTTGCTTTACATACAAACCAGCTGTATACTACTTCCCATATGACAAAGTATTTTGGCCTATATCCCTGTACTTGAACTATTTGATTTTTTTGGTTGGGGACTATTTCATATCTATTTAGATTATATTGACTTTCATTTTAATTTTTGAAATCAAATGCTCTAGAAATTATTTATTTCTGAAAGAAAAGATTTTGTTTAGATGAGTTTGCAGACTTTTTTTAATTAAAAGATTTTGCTACTCAACATACAGATTTCTCTAGTAGCCTATATTTTCAAGGCAGGATGCTGCATGCCATGGTCATGAGTATTCTTCAGCCAGCTCTTTTTCCTCCTCACTTAGCTTCTTTTAATACAATCTTGTGATTCTGAGAGTCTTGGAGAATAGAGCTTTGCCCTAGGGTTGTTACTGTTTTCTGTTCTGTGTTGATAGACATTTCCAGTTCATGCTGTCCTCTGAGGACCTTTCCTCTATAACTCAGTTGATCCTAAAACTCTAGATTGGGGGAGGAGGATGGGATGTGTTTCTCAACCTCAGGCCATTGGTAAGCTCTGCACAAGGTTTATAGTTTGAACAATAACCTTAGTGATAGAGATGATTTGCACTCCGTCTCCCTTATAATTAGCAGCAAGCATTTGCAGGGTAGCCAGTCAGAGTTACTCAGTGGAACACAGAAAATATAATTGGTATAATCAGAGAAGGTCAGAAATGGATTTTATCTCTTTTATTTCATATGCAACATTATTGAGTGTTGTTCTTTCTGTGAACTCTTGTGAATACTTATGCATGCATTGCTGTCTATAATAACACTATCCTAATGATTTTCTTTTTCTTTGAAAGAGTGAGAATAAGAAGAGTTCATTATTCTTGTTCTTGACTGTTTAAAAGTATATTAAAATGTAACAAGTTTTAGACCTGGAAAGGGATTTGAACTAGTAATCTGAAGATTGAATTTGCATTCTGGCTCTACCACTTAGCTGTGAAACTGTGAGCAAGTGTTTTAAACTCTTTGAACCCTGGTTTTTCTTGTAAGGAAAATAAGTATAATAAAACCTGCCCTGTTCTATGTTCCTCACAGTATAATTATCAGGCTCAAATTCATCTATTCATTCAACTAATATTCTGGTCCTACTTCGTACCAGCCAGGTGCTGAGAATACAACAGTGAATAAAACAAAGTCCCTGCTCAGTGGAGTGAAATGAAAATCATACCTCTGAGAGCGTTTTGAAAATTGTGAAAGAATTTAGAAATTTAAGTTTTTATAACATCCAATACCCATAATTTCACTAATGAGGAAAGTTAAGTTCCAGAAACATTAAGTGGTTAGTCTAATGTTATCCAGTGAGATAGGGTTGGAATTAGAATCAGATTGTTATGAACAGTCTTGTGTTCTTTCTCCCATTCCCCATCAAATATATTATGATTGAGGTTATTCATCTTAAGTTTCCTGCCCTTCTTTTCCATTGTTGTAATGCCTTCCCTATTTTTGATCCCCTAGTCACTTTTTCTTTTCACTTCATGTCTTAAGTTTTTTTGTTTTTCTTTCTATAACATTCTGTTATCAATTTTAATATTTAGATGATAACTGGAAAAGCCACGTTTCTTCTAGACTGATCTGAATTTGTATCTTTGGCCATTTACTTAAGTTTTTGACAAACTAAAACTGATAATAACTACTTTAGAGACTGCTTTGAGACTAAAAAAATTATATCAGGTGAAGCCTTTTTTAGCACAAAGTAAGACTCAATGTTTGTTGATTTGTACCTTTTCTGTGAATGACTTTTCTACATTGGCTTTTTCTCTTACTACAAAAATATACATCTTACCAGAGACTCCCTGACTTTTTTCAGTGCCAATATCAAGAAAATTTGGTCTGTTTACAGTCATTCAAATACTTATTTAATCCTTCTGTGTACTGTGCACTGTGAAGCATATGACAGGAGCATAACTTACCACCTCTCTAGTTCAGCTTACTGAGTCCGCAAACCTGAAAATGTGTACAAAGCTGCGTTGTTTTTTTCCTGTAGACTGCTTCTATAGATTTGATTTTCAAAAAGGTCCTGTGAACCCGGAAAAGACTAAGAACCACTGATTTCTAATTTTTATATTTATTCATCAACTTTGAGAAACAATTAGAGAATGTCAGTATAAAATGAAGTGGTAAATTTTGAGTAAAAATGTGAAGAAAAGGATGAGAGTCTGAAGTCCTTCATTTGAGCTTTAGCTCTATTACTTATTAAGGTCCATGGCCTTGAATGAGTAAAACACATACATTTTTCAAATATGGGGCTATTAACTCATATCTCCTTATCAGGTTGTTGTTAGGATTAAATGATGACATATGTGAGAGAGTACTTGGTAGCAATACCATTTTATTGGTACATTAGTACCTGTTACTCCAGTAGCAGTTTGGGGAAGGACACTTTTCTCAAGCACCCTTGAGTTCCTCTCAGGGGAACCTGGGTGTGAATTAGTCTGGAACTTCAGGGGATAAATCTTTGATAACCAGTGTATTTTTATTCTCTTTAAGTAAGATATTGTGACATAGGGTAAAGAGCCCTGGGCTAAGTGTCAGAAGATATATAATTGTACAAAGTACCATTAAGTTACAGTATACCATATACAGTATAAGATAAAATTTCTGAACATCTCTGTAAAACAGTAATACTTGTAACATACTCAAGAGTTGTAAGGGACAAATGAGATGATGTGGATGGAAAATTCCATAAAGTATGCATGAACCAGTAAATGACATTTTGAGCAAATTACTTGACTTTCTGTGCCTCTATCATCTGGCACACAGTAAGTCAGGAAATGTTAATTTTGCCATTATTGTTGCTACTGCTTATTAGTCTCCTAGATTATATACGCAGATTCTTTGATCTTGTCTTAGCTTTTTTTGTGAGAGGTGAGGAAGATAAAATTAAGGCACATGAAACAGAAATAGAGTAGTCATTTGTGTGGTACTGAAGCAATTTGTTATGTAGAGTTGACCAGAGTAACTGAAGAATATCTCATGGGCCAAAACTGATCTTGAAGAATAGGTATATTTGGATAGGTTGAGATGAAGGACATCTTAAGAAACAAGAATAATATGAGCAAAGTCATAAAAAGAAGATAAGGATAGTATGGTAGAAACTGTAAGTAGATTCAAATGAACAAGGGACCTCATTGTTGCTCTTGAAAGTGAAATGTGGTTAGCAAACTCCTTCATCTCTATTCTCCTTAACCCCAACATTAGAGGAAAGTCAATATATTCTAATGCTACTGTGTTCCTTCCTGAAGGGTTGGGGAGGAGGTTTAGATATGTAGGTTCCAGGATTCACTGGCTATGCTACTAATGATGTAACTGTTTCTGGAATAAGAGGGAGTATATTCTTTTCCATTTTCATACTACATTTTGCCATAGAAATAATGAAAATAAAGGACACATTCCTAGACTTGTTAAAAGCAAACACAACTCAAATAGTGGACATTGCAAGAGTAAAAGCTTTATACTTTCCCCCCATTTTATATTCTTGTGTCATTTGCAAACTTAGCTCAAAACTTACCCTTATTTATTAAGTAGAACAATAAACAGTTTGAAACTATGTGTTTAAAAGAAGAGGAAATAAGTTCATGTTTTTATATCTATAAAATAGATCGGGGATATAATATATAATTCACAAACTCTACTTGTCACCCACTTAAAGTCAATGGCTTCAGCAAACTTCCATCACCCTCAATTTAAGAAGATTTTAATATCTTCACAAAGAATCTTTGTATCCATTATCAGTCACTTCTGTATTCTTTTAAGCTTCTAGCTCTAGGTGACTACTATTCTTTGTTTTTCTGGATTTGCCTATTCTGGGCATTTTGTATGAATGAAATAATATATGTAGTCTTGTGGGATTGGTTCTTTCACTTACCATAATGTTTTCAAGGTTCATTCATGTTGTACATGTATTAATACCTATTCTTTTTTTATTGCTGAATAATATTCCATTGAACTTATCAGATTTTGCATATCTGTCCATCAGTTGATGGACATTTGGGTTGTTGCTACATTTTGGGTGCTATGAATACTACTATGAACATTTGTGTACAAGTTTTTTTTTGTTTGTTTGTTTGTTTTTGCGACAGAGTCTCACTCTGTTGCCCGGGCTAGAGGGAGTGCCGTGGCATCTGCCTAGTTCACAGCAACCTCAAACTCTGGCTCAAGCAATCCTGCTGCCTCAGCCTCCCGAGTAGCTGGGACTACAGGCATGCACCACCATGACCAGCTAATTTTTTGTATATATACTAGTTGGCCAATTAATTTCTTTCTATTTATAGTAGAGGCGGGGTCTTGCTCTTGCTCAGGCTGATTTCAAACTCCTGACCTGGAGTAATCCGCCCGCCTTGGCCTCCCAGAGTGTTAGGATTATAGGCGTGAGCC